TGGCCATATATTCACCTAAAGAATGAGCACATTTAACGGCACGAACCAATCAAAAGAGAATGTTTCAATCATTCTATTATAGCGGCCTCTCGTGACGATTCTTTTCCTTTCGATATTTTTCCCTTCGATATTTTTTCTTTCGATGTTTCTCCTCATTTTCTTCGACATTTATCCTTTCGGCTTTTTTCCTTTCTTCCTTTTTCCATCATACCTTATTATTATTATTATTATTTAATGAATTTATTGATTCATCATCAGTTGTATGATGTGGTGAAAATAAGAAAAATTCATCACCAACAGCATTTATATCAACTTCACGTAAACTTTCATCATTAGAAATTTTACGAATATTTGATGAATCTATTTGAATTAGTTCTGTTTGATAAATATATGTTTCTAAAGAACCATCATACCAATTTGGATTTTCACTTGGACGTGAATCAGTTGTTTTTAAACTATCAGTATTTGATGATGTCAAAATAAATGATGTTAATGATGAATTTTCTATTTCAATATCAACTATTGGAATGAGAGTAGATTTTTGTTCTGCTGTTGATAGGACAACAATGTCGAGATCTATTCAAATAGAATGAAGAAGAAATAAGTGATTATAGGAAAAACTCCGAGATACCAGTATGGTACTTTCGAGATAATTTATCGAGAAATTCTGAAACTTTGGTTTAATTTAGAAGAGCATACCACAACCGGTTTCGACCTTGCTCAAGGGTCTTCTCAGGTGGTTTAAGACATCTTAATCGATTGCGAAAATCAATTAAAACATCTTCTACATTGTCGTATGAAAGCAAATTTTTGACGAAATGTAGAAATTTTTGAAAATGTGGTGCAATTTAGATGTTTTAATTGATTTTCTCAATCGATTAAGATGTCTTAAACCACCTGAGAAGACCCTTGAGCGAGGTCGAAACCGGTCGTGTTATGCTCTTCTAAATAGAAAACTTTCAAAAACCACCTTTTTGCTATATATCTAACTATGCTCTTAAAAACAAAAATATCATCACAAGCCGGGCGAATTGGCAAATCTCTCTTGATGATACCATCATTCGTCCATCTCTCCTAGCTCATCTCAAGTCCTCAGCGCATCTCTTCAGTGCTCTTTTAGCTTTGCTTGAAACTTTTCAAGTCTATATGTCTCTATTTTTATTTCTATTACGTTATGATCATCCAACGATGTCAACCATAGTGATTAGAGAACGTTGACTATTTGACGAACAAACATAGAGATAACGCAAATATATAAAAATGTATATGTACACTTTTATAGAATCGCATTTCAAGCGTGCCAATAAGGTCTAAATAAAAATAAAATGGGTGTGGGTATGGGTATGAGTGGAAGGAGAACATACTTTTTATTCACTGACACCCCACACTCTCAACTTTAAAAGCAACATCTTTAACAATTGAGATTTGTTTTTTTTGATGAAATTCTTCTGCTTATCTGTAAGATTTACTCTCTAATCTAACTTTATCTTGATTTATTTTAATCAGTGATGACCCGTTTCGACCGTTGCTTAAGGATTGAAATCAGATGAGTTTTATATTCGTAGATGCAAAAGATCTACCGTTTTTATTCTAACTCTTCAACATATCTAGTTTAATATAACTCTTCTATTACTCAATTCATATAAGTAATACGTGACTACTTTTCATCATATATTTATTATTTCAATCAGTCATCTGATTTCAACCCTTAAGCAACGGTCGAAACCGGTGATAACTGATTAAAAATAAAATCGATAGATTAATAAAAAAGTTAGTTGAACTATTTAATAGAATTGATAAAAACGTTATCAAATCTAGAAATAATAGGATATATACCAGTAAATAGATAAATGTCCGATAGAATAAAATATAATCTATTATCGATAAACAATAGATTTGTTTATTTAAGTTAACATTTATTTTCGATAACAATTCAATTTATTTTTAAAATGATTATTATTAAAATAAGTTCAACTCTTGTTTTCCATCCAATAGAATTCAATTAATATCTATCTCGAATAAATATATCAATTTTATTATTTACTCATATTTCTTGGTTATTGTCGATAGAATAGCACTAATTCAAATATTTGTTCATCTTTTTATCAAAAAAAAATTTTTTTCGTCAAAAGCTGAATGTTTTGTTTTTAATCGACGTAATGGATAATTAATTTAGTTCGACTTAAAAAAAGATAGATGGGAGAATTTTCCTTGTCTAATATAATCCTATGAGAACTTATTCAAATCTAGATTATATTATTTAATAACAATCAAACAATCCAACACAACGTTTTTTTTAAATTATTTTTATAAAAACTTTCAATTCTATAAAAGATTATTATTTAATATCTATTCATATCATATAGATAGGTTATCATCGTCAATCAGACTTGTCTCACCTTCGATTTAATCGTTCTATCATTTCACTATTATAGACTTATTTTGAAAGGCAATCTATATTAGTGTAAGTATCGATGTGCTTGTGCCTATTATTCTATTTATTCTCTTCACTAATTCAATAATTTCCGCAGACGATAGACAAGACAATTCAGATAGACACAACCCACCGACAGCCACATCGACAGACACGATCAATCACCAGAAACGATCACAACCATACCTAAGAAGCTAACATCAACATTAGACCTATACTCAACCACATTAGACAGTCACACTGACACAAACGACAGTCATAGATATGCCCTTACGCACATTTCGACCCCACATGTCGTATTTCATTGACTGAACTTCTACCCTGGAACGAGCCGATTGGACGAGAGGAAGAAACCAATACATATCATTGATCAATGTCCCAATGTCTTAATCTTAAAAAAAAATACAAAATAAGAAACTTCATATAGGATAAATAGTATCGAAAGTCTTATTTATTAGGACAAACAAACAAACAAACATAGATAGATTTTCTCATGTAAGAGAGTTTGTTTAATAAAAGTAGATAATAAATAGAAAACGTGGCATTGAGATTGTTATTAAAATGGTTCTATTTAGAGGAGTTGAAACAATTCGTATAAATCGATATATCAGTCTCGTTATTATTTAGTCGTTTCCGGTTAAAATATTTTTCTATTAGTTGATTGAAGATTTTCTCTTCTACCGAACATATGATTTTTGTTTATCATAGATTCGTCAATGAAAATTACGCTAGAAAAAACGATCAATATTTACGCAATAACATTTGTTATTTTCTAGTGTAAAACGGCAGTTCATTTCGATTAACTGTCCTCGTACAGAATGCTTTATGAAATAGAGCTATTTTTTCGAAGAAAATAATAGTCAGTGAAAGTTTAAATCGACGTTTTTGTGAGTCTCTCTCCCTCTCCATAGATCCTAGCAACTGGATTAGATGTCTTCGGGAAGCTTCTATGGAAACTTAATTAAACATTGATGGAGGAGATATTCGAGATATTGAAGATATTGAAGATATAGAGATGTAGGAGGATAGTAAACAGTTATTTCTATTTTATGATTGATTTTTTCGAGTAATCGTCGAAAAGTTGAATCAATATATCTTAATGGATCGATATTCAAAGTCAAACACTATATAAAGATTATTGGAACTAGTTAATCAATGTATCGTAAATCTTCTATCTCGTTTATATCTCCAATATCTCTATATCACTTATATGTTCTGCATCTCCAACATCTACCATATCTTTTCCGTCGATGTTTAATTGAGTTTCCGCGCAAACTCTCCGAAGACATCATATGCGTCGCGTCTCTCAAATAAAAGGTCCCTTCGCGCGGAAAAGTTCTTACCATTGAGTGACTATTCCTGAGATTACTGAATAGTTCACTTCAATTTTTAGGCTTCACACGCATTACGTTGGCAGAGACACTATATGAGTTTCTTCGCGACACCCACATCGAGACTCATATGGGGTATATCTCTCTGTGGATGATATTTCAAATTTGATACTTGAAGGTAGAAACGAGAAAGCTCACTTGAAACTAAGTTTCAAGTTTTACATCTATATTCACGGCACCCACACCAACTCCTATGTAATGTCTGTCCTATTATGGCAACTCCTTTCGCGATCAGTCCTTTCGCGGCACCCACAGCAGCAGCAATGTGATGTGTGCGTGAATTTGTGCGTCAGCTACTCCTGTCGGAACTCCCATAAGAATTTATTTGATATTTTTATATCAATAGAGATATTTAGACGAGCCCTACAACACTGTCTGTATTAAAACTTTTTAGAACCATTGTCTGGGATTACAATTTCCCATAAAATTGTGATTTTTATCCTTTTGTGGTGTAAAAAAGATTCTTGACTTTTCATATAAAACAAACAAAGCATGCGATTATTTTGTAATCTTTTTTTCTTCAGAAGAGAATTCCAAACAATATTAATATAGATAGTCTTGTAGAGCTCATTGAGATCTATCGATTCATATAAAAATATCAAACAAAAAAATTATTTGATTGTCCACATTACTAGGATCGTACTCAAACTTCTAATGACCATATCAGCTTGTTTTTTCTTGAATAGCTTTTGTTGTAGTGTTGAAGTTTGTTTTTTTTTTCATATGCTTTCGATTCAAGAGTTATTCATTTCAGAAATATGCAGACATATGGTACTCGAACTCCGCTATCCGAATGTAAAAAGAAGTTAAAATCTACGTTCTGTATTCCTGAAATGTCAACCAAAACAAAAAGTGGTTAGAAACTTTTGACGTCCACTATATTTAAATATATTTATTTGAATCTTTTACATGTTAAATTTTATGTTGTAAAAAACGACATCTTTATATTTTTGTGTTTTCCATTATTTGTTACAATTCGTCTGTCTTGTTCATTCGTTTAAACTCTTCGTCATTTATTCGTTTATGTTCTTTGTAGTCAACTATAATATAAATACAGTGTTTTGTATGCTGCTTATTTAATTTTAAGATATTAATTTATTTTTTAGAAAACAAACTCATCATTATTGTGAATTTAACTCTCATCATAGTGAATTTAACTCATTATTATTGTGAGTTTAACCCATCATTATTGTGAAGTTAACTCATCATAATCGTAAATTAAACTCATCATTATTGTGAATTTTATTGTTTTAATAATAACATCTTTCAATATAATTTGGAAATGTCGGAGGAGTTAAAAAAGCAAGTAATTTATTTGACAGGTTGTGTTAAAATGAATTTATATGACGGCAATGAAAATGAAGCAGTAAAAGTAAGTGCCATGAACTCTTGAAAACGAAGAAAATCAAAGATATTTATAAATGATTTCTAGATATTGGACGATATAATAAACAAATTATCACCTGTTAATCACGAAGATAAAATGATAAAAAATATTCTTCTTGTATCATATATTGAACGTATTGAATTATTGTACAAAAAAGAAAAATATGAAGGTAAAACATATTGTTTCTTAATTATTATATAATGAAATTAATTTAATAAAAATTTTTTTTAATCAATTATTATATTATTTTGTATTATAGATGTTTGTTAAAGACGTTGAAAATATCAAAAACCTTAATTATAACATATATAAGGATAAAAAAATAATCCTAATTTATCAGTAAGAGATTAATAGTTTAAGCTAATCTCACTGTATTTTGGTTCTTTTGCAGCAAGTCTCGAAAAGCCATATACGATTTGAATATCATACAAGATTTGGAAAAGTTCGAAAATTGTAAGTAACAAAAATTAATAAAAGTATATATTATTTCGCGTCTTGTTTATAGTCGATCAAGAAGTCGAAGATTATAAAGATGATATTAAAAATGGTTCAAAAAAAAAGAAAGTAAATATGATGTGAAAAGAAAAAAAAAATATTTATTTCTTTATTTTAGAAGAAAAACAAACAATGAATAAAAAAAAACA